TTATGACCATTTTTTGAGGCTGTCTGATGGAAGATTAGTGGCTCCTCAGTTTTTCAGTTCCAGTTTCATATTTTCTGCTCCAATCCCTCTCCCAGCCGACTTGGATCCATTTCCCACCCTGGGTCACTTTGGGGTGGTAGTGGGGGCGGGAGACTAGAAGCCATGGGGAGTGAGGATCCTGCCTGTCCTAAAGGAGGGGCCTCTGGGCTTTTAAGACCTGAGGCGGAGGTAGGCAGAGGTAGGTGTCCTCCTTAAGGCCTCTTTGTGCCCAGTGAGAGCCACCCAGTGCTACCCCAGGCGCTGCTTGGGCGCCCCTCCAGGAGTACTTACTGGGGGATTTCAGATCCCATTTTCCAATCTGAAAAATGGAATTTGTCAAGCGCAGGGAAAGTTGTGGTGTGAAGGACTGACCCACACGGGTCCCTCTTGCTCCTCGGTCTGGGGACACTTGAGGAGGTGGCCTGACCACTGCCCCACACAGCCATTCCGGCTGTGTTCTCTCCCTTGTCGTTGGAAGGTCCAGGCTGGCAGACTGTAACCGTTTCCAGACCAGAGGCAGCGGACGCCGCTGCCCAGGTGCCAGCAGGACGCTCCCCTGGGGGAGAAACAGGCAGGGCCATCCGCCGGGGGAACCGGTCAGCGCTCGCAGAGGATGCGGGAGTAGGGAGGCCCCGGGAGGAGAGGGACCTCTCCCCGAAACAGGCTCCGCTGCAGGAGCGCATGCGCCCCAACCCCTGCCCGTCTCACTTTGAGCGGTAGTTAGTAAAATTCTGTTCCTTCACAAGACTCATCCCTGGCTTAATACATTTAAAATGGTCGTTTTGGAAAACAGGAGTTTTCCAAAAGGAAGAAAAAAACAAAAAGAAAAAAGCGTGCATTGGCCGGGAATCGAACCCGGGCCTCCCGCGTGGCAGGCGAGAATTCTACCACTGAACCACCAATGCCGAGCTGTGAGAACGGCCAACACCGAGGCTCAGGTGGTCAAAGGCAGACGTCCTTTGAGATCGGGCGTCTGCCCAACCTTCTGGGCTCCAAAAACGGGTCACCTGGAGCTGGGACCTGATCCCAGCGCTCCTCTCATCTCAAACCCACCTCACCTGGGGGTCGCGGGGAGGAGGAGGAGGAACCTGCGCCGGCCCTGCGGTCCTTTCTCTTTCTCCTCCTCCCATCCTCCGGAATCGTCAGCAGCCCTGTGCTTCCCGGGCCTCCTGAAGCCAGAAAACGGGGCGGGCTGCAGCTCTGGGGACCCTGAGGATGAAAGGGAAGGGCGGCCCCGCTCAGGGACCGCTCCAGGGAACCGCACACACCTGGCCTATCTTGGGCTGGCCCTGAGCAGTACCAGAAAGTTGTTCCAGAACTTATGCCCCTCTCCACTATCCCATGTACCCTCTACACTATCCCCAATTCCTCACCTTCCCCAGGCCTAGCGCCATGGTACCTGAAGCTCCTGCCCGGTGTCCCCACAGACCCTTCCTGCCAGGCAGAAGAGACCCAGTTGTCTCCCTGAACGAATCCCCCACCCTCCTGGCACCTGCACCCCCGAGCGCTCAGTGTGTGTGAGAAGGCTGAAGTCAGACATTGTGAGCTTTGGGTTCTTTCTG